CTTGTCTTTAGCTTTATATCTGCAGTATTCTAATCTTCTACTCACACTTGTCTTTTCCATTGAAAAACTAGTGTGCTTCAGTCATCATCCAATCAGATGTTACGACTGAGCTTACTTTCTGTTGATATCGTACTAAACAATGTGTATTCATGTTATTGAACTTAAAGCGAATCGCGACGAAAATACAACGTAAGTGTGGCGAAAGCGACGCAGATGTTCAGGCGATGTTTGGTGCCAGAAAGATGAGTAGGGCACCGAAGAATCGGTGTTCAACATGATAATCGCAAAGCAGAGTCCGGTTCAGGTGAACACGATTTTCCATGGTACAGCGAGGTTTCTGGTCATGACATTAACGTGGCAATTGGAGGGAACGGAAGATCAGCGGTGGCATCAGAACGGCTTACTTGAGCATGAGTAAGTGCGTCATTTATTAGTTTTTTTCTTTTACACAAATATTTACATTTTTACTGAGTAAGCTGCGTTTGCTTGCTTGATTCAGCTGCAGTCTCATTGTTGACAACGCATCATATAAAGTGCATTTGCGTTTACGGCCACATGATGAGTTTTTCCGTGATTGCTTTACTACAGAAACTGCCCTTTGCTAAATTTTCAAACATTCTTTCTTCATGCCAGATTTAAACTTAATGGTCTACTCTACTTTGTGCAAATGCTTTACACAGCGATGAATGAATTCAGTGCCGACGACGAAACCATGATTCAGGTGTTAGAGAGTCTATCACAAGATCTCAATCTCGATCAAGGAGACTTCCACAATATCTACAAAAAGTCGCAGAAAGACTTCAAGAAATTAACTATATCATTATAATGTTGTTTACTGGTTTCTAAGCAATGGTATTTCGACAACCGATCGAATTAATGGCCATTATTTCTGCCTTTAATGACGCCAACAGAAAATGTGCTAGCCACGTATGTAGCCTGCTTGACGACCGGTGAACTTCCAGCATTACAAGCTGGGTTCGCTAGATTATACGCTTCCACTAAGTCGTCCGAGAATACGTCCGGACCACCAAAAAATTAAGTTACTCGGATTGCGGTATAGGCAGCGAATGGACATGATCAGAAAGACAGACGTACCCATAACACGGAGGACGTGGGATATCAAATGCTCAATATCATATGTTGTGCGGGAATTAGTAACAATGAGGTCCATAAGTATGACCCATTGATTGCAACATGGCAGCTGTTAGTGGTATGTGAAGCGGCTATATTGAGGGTTCTATAATATTGTTGAATTCCAGCGCTAAGTGCCACAGCGAAAAAATAATTAAGTCTAATATAGAGCCTGAGCATGACAACTATGGAAATAATTGATTTGCCAAGAACGAGATCAGTAGTGCATTTCAAAATCGTTAAGCACTCCTCGATCCTGTTTCTGGTTATAATATCAACTTATTTCTCAAAGTTATTGTATGAAATGCAAGCGCGACATTTACTTTAGTACAACGCCTTTAGTTACGGGCCAGTCTGTAGAATCAGTATAAATAAATATTACACCAACACTAAATCTAATACGAAACATACTTTTCAGGATGACTGTAAGCTGCACTGGTTTAGAAAACGCCCCGCCTAAAACATTCCAGCATTTGCTTACTTGTCTGCGAGAAATTTGCTCATTGCGTACTTATTTTCTGTGTTGTTAATGCAATTTCTTTACTAATCACCCCAAACAATGTTGATTCATCTAGTAAAGCAGACGCTTTAGCCTCTCTAAGCGTCTTTCATCGAAGACGCGAAATACGATTGGTTTGTGCCCTACTCCACCATGGCAATGGTGTTCCTTCCTACGAGCAATTTCTTGAATGTTTTTTCAACATTTAACTTGCTGTATTTTTTGTGATGGATTTTATGGACGATATTTCAGTCTTCTGAACAAGTTTATGTCCATATCGACTACGACTGATATAAGAAGTACGTTTCGAAGACCTTAACGTAAAGTGAACTTTACCTAACTCAGATTTACCCATATGCCCGTTAATCACGACCAGTAACTTACTCATTTATTCTATGTGTATACAGTGGTATATTTTATGTCCTAATGGTTATTTCAGAGGATGCACACAAATTTCATGTCAGTCTGTAATTATGAATGTAAACTAATATAACACAGTATAATTAGCGTAAGAAAATAGACAAATAAAAAAATTTGCTGTTAAATCTCTCTTAATGAAACTATCAAGAGATACATGAATAGTGGCTTCTTCTTTGCATAAATCACTCAATAACAGGCTACAGCGTCATCTGTTTAGCCCTGGACTTTTAAAACCGTGAGGCTTTAGGATCTGTCTACATCATTCGTTCTATTTGTGTTGAAATCTCCTTGAATGCAACTGTCATCTCTTCCATTACGAAATGTTTCAGTTCCTCTCTTGTTTTCAAAGACTCAGCTTCATTAATTTATGCTGCTTATATTTCACTGATATCTTGATTTGATAACTCATGTTCATGCGAATAAATGAATTCTTGGATACCGTGTTTGTCACCTTTGAATTTCAGTAGTTCAACAAGGTTCACTATCCTATCATTTAACCCTTCAAAACTTTCCTTCCCACTGACGTCATGCACAGATTTTACCAAAGTGGGTGCTTTAAGTAAAGTTGTGTAACTAGCAAATTTTTCTATTGTCCTTTCAGGATAATTTGCGTAAATCGTAAGCGACGTATGTAATTTGTCGTGGTGTATATACAAATACATACCAGTCATAAAGTACATCAGAATCGTATAAATTGAGTAGTTTATTGGCCAATGGCCGTATTCTTCCAATGTCATGTACTCAAGACAGTGCCAAAAATGACTCTTTATATATTAGACATACAACACTGATTTGCATCGACGATATCGGTACACGAGAAGAAAAGCATGTGGCGCTGTTCGACTGATTAGGTAGCGTTCAGTTTCCATTGATGAGCATAATTAGTGCTTCTTTATACTTCCCGGAAGTCTCACTCTAAATTTAAAATTTTTTAAGCGTCATGAACATCTTTGAAATAGTTAGTTTGGTATTGATGCTCAGTATACAAGGTGCATAGTTACTGTGTCAAATCATATAACGTCGATGTTCAGAAATAGTTAGCATTCGTTAACTATTCGTTTAAAATGGTTACATTCTGAAATGCGTAGCTGTCTACAACCGGCCGGCCTTCTGGCCTGGCTTTTCAGTGAAGTAAATACTGTCCAGAATTACTAGCTCGAATTGGTTTACACTAAGATAAAGCCAAAAACACGTCAATAAGTCATTCTCGTTTAAAATAACATAGATATGATCATTTATCAGGATTCCAATCACATACAATAAAAGAAATTTTCAAAAAATTAAAAAAGATTAAATTACAGCAGTTTTCATCCGTCTGATCACATTAAGTGTTTACACTAGATCTATCAAATCATCATCATTCTTTATCTAACGTAGCTGCCAGAACAAGATTATCCGACTGAGCACAATAAACATATCATATCATACACAGAAACGCAGTGCGCAGGACTTAACTTTAAAGTTATTAACAATCAAGAAAGAACTGATGAAAGAAATCAGTGGACTAACAGATCGTAGAGTTCATGCGTGCTGTGTATCGAACATA